TCTGCTGATCTATGCATTTGTCTGTGGGTGTCCCTGCCCAGACTCCTCTGCTGATCTATGCATTGTCTGTGGGTGTTCCTGCATCAGACTCCTCTGCTGATGTATGCATTTGTCTGTGGGTGTCCCTGCCCAGACTCCTCTGCTGATAGATGCTTTTGTCCCAGGGTGCTCCTGCCACCTCCTCTTACCACCATCACACTAGATATACTTACTACATTAAAACAAAAAATTAAAAAACAATCTTACTTTATTATACTTACTACATTAGGCATTATTTAGTCAAGAAGTCATTCAAAACACATAGAAAATATAAAAAATAAGTAATTCTCTTTAAATGTCTTTGGAGATTTTTAATTAATATGCATTATTCCCGGAGGTTAATGTTTTTAAGAGAAAAGCTTTGGAGGAGGGCAGGCTTCTGTAGACTGAGCTCGCAGGCTTTGCCCACACTGCTCTCTATCCAGGCCCTTACTTTCTGTGGAAAAGATAGAAGCCCACAGTTCTCTTCTCAACCCACTAAGCCTCCTGACCCCAGAAGCTGCTTGGCTCTGCTGAGGAAATAGCTCAGGTACAATGAGAATGCAGAAAGCACCCAGGCCTTCCTCCTCCTAGAGACCTTCTCAAGGTTAAAAGGTTAACTCCGAGTCCAGTGCTCACAAAAGCAGGTGTTTTGTTCTCAGTCATTGTCACAAGGTTAAGTCCTCAAGTCCCAGTGAAGCCCAGCTCTGGAGCTGATACCCAGCCCTCACTCTGGAGTTCCAGTCAGACCTCTGGAGCTCCATCGGCTTCTCTCTCCATTTCCCTGCGATTTCTCTCACTGTTTATTTGTCTGTCTAAGCACTTAAATAAGGATGATATCATAGGCTAAAATGTGAATCATTCTGGGAACTCGGCCATTAATGGGAAAAAATGATACTCGCTAACTCTTTCCCCTTTGACAATGCCTTATTTGATTAATCTAGGTAGATGCTCCACTGAGGTAGAGCCCAGGGTAAATCTCCATTTACTCATCTGGATGGTTCGGGTCTCTCATTTCTCTAAAAAAAAATAAAAAAAAATTCTGTTTAAACGGGATCATTAAGATAATTTAATGGGATAAAAAAGGCTTTAGAACTCTTTTTGCTAAGAAAACAATCAAGAGTACATAAATCTCCAAAGATGTTAGAATAACCTTTAAATAAAGCATAAAAGATTGTTTTTTAAACAGCTAAAAGGTTTGGCACATGTGTTATATTCATTCACTTTCTTCCTCAAATAAATCACTTTATTAGCTGGTATAAAA